ATATATATATATATATATATATATATATAATCGAATAACAATGTCTAAGAGGGAATTATTTGACACTTAATGTAAAGATTGAATGATATCATGTGGGTTTGTACATTTTGTTATATCCCAGTAAAGAAAGAAGATTTTAGGTTTATATTCTGGCTTGTTGTTGGATATACAAGACTGTTTAGTGTAGGTATTATTAATTAATTTATTTTATGAGTTAATATTTCATGATTGTTTAGTTTTTTCATAATGAGAGTTAAAAGCAATTATTTTAAAGACGACAGTTAGTACGAGTTTGATTACGTAACTTGGTAAAAGTCATACGTTGTGTTTGCAATTTACTGGTGTTGAGGCTATAGAAAGTTCTAGAGGCCTCAGTGATAAAACTAAAATAGCAGCAACCAAATGAGTGGAGGGGAGTAAAAGTAAAGTCAAGTGAAAAAGAAAGTTCAGTCACAGGAAAGTTAGAAAATGTGAAGTTAACCATTGTTGGAGTGATTAGCTTTAATGGTTGATATTTCAAAGTGAAATTATCAGTTTGATAGAGATAAGGAGAATAATTTGTCTTGTCAAAAGGTATTCTAAACTATTTGAACCTGCCTGTGTGGACTTTTGACTGAAAGAAGACAGTTATTGGAAGTTCAGGATGTAACTGTGGTAACCCATGAGGGCAACGTAAGTGAATTATTTGCTGAGACTATTGTGATAAAAGTAGAGAAAAATAGTTCAGGTTGTCAACTGGATTCTAAAGCAATCGTATTAGCCTAAGTGGACTTTTGACAAGAAGAAAATAAATGTATAGTGTTTAAGATAAAACTATGATCTGCACAGTGTAAAGAATTTTTGTACATACATTTAACTTGTTTTGAATATATTATTTTAAAACAAGTGGAGTGTGTGCTGTCTGTTTATTGTTCGAATTTATTGCCAACAAGTCACAGACCCCTACTGTAGGAGAGTCCTTTAAAAGTTCTGACACTTGTCAGTATCTATAGTTTGTGTTTTTAACTAGTTGGACATACACAGAAATCCATAAGAGGGCAGAGAGAGAGAGAGAGAATCTAAATTGGGTGGTTGGATTTGATTTAAATTTCGTGTAAAGATGCACGAGAGCTATATGTGCTAGCCATCCATAATTTAGCAGTGAAAGACTAGAGGGAAGGCTGTTAGTCATTACCAGCCACCGCCAACTTGTGGGTTACTCTTTTCCCAATGAATAGTGGGATTGACCATCACATTATAACACATCCACAGCTGAAAAGGTATGTTTGGTGGGACGGGGATTTGAACCTGCAATCCTCAAATTGCAAGTCAAGCACCGCAACCACCTGGCCCAGGGCAGTTTGAAACACAGATGCAGAAAAGGTTGAGAATGTATATAAGTATTTCCTTTTGAAATTAAAACTTAGATAATGTATGAACTTCAACTATAAATTATATTTTGATGCCAAGCTTAAACATTTGTTGATAATAAAGTTGTTTAACTAAATTTTGAATGTGACCGTAAAAGGTCGTGACATGCACGTTTTGACCCAGTTGTTTACACAGAGTTATATGTAGTAAAGATGAAATTAATGGAATGATAATTCATCCAGGCCTGATCTCAGTGTTTGAAACATCATTCCAAGGCTGAAAAAGTCCATTAGAAATTCCAACTGTACACTTTCTAATACGCTAATGAAAAAAAAGACCATTTATATGTGTAAGACTTAATTTAAAGCCTTTACGTTTGAGTTGTTTATGATCCAAAGCATACATTATATGGATTATCTCGCATATCAGTAAAAATTCTGTTTTTATATTTTTATTCACACAAAATACAGTTTTAGATGGATGATTTTCATTCTGTGTAGGAATTAAAACTTATCTCTTAGACTGGGATACAGTTGAAAGGAACTACAAGAGCCTTCAGGATTTCTTGAAACCTGTGGTATTGTACTTGTAATCTGTAGATACTGTTTCCGCACATATACGATAGAAGCATGCTTGTGTGATAAAACATAATTTTTAACAATGTAGATGTGTATTTGGCATGTTGTCTGTACTTTTTTGTGTTCTTGTACGTTATGATAAGTGTAGTACTTTTCGGTGTATTTAAGTAGTTTTCCCTGATGTATCATGTGCTAAAATATTCCATTTTATAGGTTGTGTATATTTTTTCAACTGACTTTATTAGTTCTGCCTGTAGTTTCACGTGTTAAAATATTCCATTCAGATGTGTGTGTGTGCACTTTTTTCAACTGACTTCATTAGTTCTGCCTGTAGTTTCACGTGTTAAAATATTCCATTCAGATGTGTGTGTGCACTTTTTTCAACTGACTTCATTAATTCTGCCTGTAGTTTCACATGTTAAGATATTCCATTCAGATGTGTGTGTGAACTTTTTTCAACTGACTTCGTTAGTTCTGCCTGCAGTTTCACATGTTAATATATTCCACTTTCATTATTATACGTTTTCCTTCAACATCAGTAGTTCTGCCTGTAGCTTCACATGTTAAAATATTCCACTTTCATTATTATACGTTTTCCTTCAACATCAGTAGTTCTGCCTGTAGC